TGCCTTGGCTGGTAGGATGGTTGTCCATTCTAGAAGGTTTCCCATAGGCACAGCACGACACAGCTGACCGTAGCTGAGATTTCTTTCGTAAAACTAACAACTATAAGACTGAATGATACAACATGGGAGTGTAACAGGATGATGCTCAATGGGATAAAAATACATTATGCCCTTAAATATGCTGTGTCATGAACTTTGAATAACATGCTTGCCAATATTAATTTACATGGCTCAACTGTCCACCACGAAAATAAGTTACATCAACCTGAATATCTGGTATTTGAAACCTTTTGAGGGCACAGCACTCAAACTGCAGACTTGGGAATGCTAACAGTATCTATTCAAAACACCATTAAAGATAAGTAGTTATGTAAGATAAATCTATTACAGGATATCCTAATTAGCTATAGAGCAGTCATTATACTGCTTGCTTAAATAAAGAACATGTACAGCTTCTCCTTTCTGAACTCAAGCAATGAAGCAAAGAGCAAATCTAAACTTCAGTGAACTTCAGAGATTTTCATACAGACCAAGCATAACAAAGACTACTGTGGTAAATGAAGCAGATACATTGCATTCTGCCACAGTGACAGAATATCAGAGAAGTAGAGATCAAATAAGGGATCAGCATGATCTACCACTGTGTAGGTCTTTTTACTTTAAGCTATATACACTTTTTATCATAAAAGACAGCTGCAAAAGACTCATTTGCTTTTGTGAAAACTAAAAATGCTAACATAATGAAATACATATCTATGAAGAGAATGGTCATTTATGGCCTTTTGAGCTCTAGTTATAAAAATAGTTAAACTTAGTGAATGTTCCTTTCATTTGAGTAAGCTCCATCCTCTTTTTCTATTCAAACAGTTATAGAGAAAGCTGCTTGGAATGGACCTTATTTTTTACATAAATTATAACTAATCTTTAATAACTTAGGAGATTACTGAAGCCTTTATATACACAGGAACATGGAAATTCACTTGCATGAAGGTTGCAGTATTGTTTCAGGTTTATAATTTTTTTAATGAAACTACAGTGCATATGGTTACATAAAATCAGCATAAAATACTATTCAAACATTTTTTTAAGCAAAATGCTTCAAAATACAACCAATCTACTTGGTTATCTTTAAAATCTATTAAAAAGGACAGAACTGATTAAAAGAATACAATGAGTCACCTTTATAAGGATGAGAGGGCAGAAGAGGGAGAGCACAGAAACCATTTTTCACATTGTATTTGTTCCTAGTTTCCCCACAAGAAGCACGATGACCTAGCTCCCGCGTTCACAAGAGCTGCTACGTAATGATAGGGATATATGGGGAAGGAAGGTTCAGCAAACTGGACAGCTGAACGATGGGAGCATGGTGCTATCTCCTTCTCTAGCTGTATAATGCAACATATTTTACATAAGGTGCCCATCTCCCTGCCCATTACAGAAGAACATACCACAGAATGGTTTGGGTTGGAAGGGACCTTAAAGCTCATCTAGTTCCAGCCCCCTGCCACGGGCAGACACCTTCCACTAGACCCAGCTGCTTAAAGCCCCAATCCAACCTGGCCTTGAACACTGCCAGGGATGGGGCAGCCACAGCTTCTCTGGGCAATGTGTTCCAGTGTGTCAACACCCTCATGGTAAAGAGCTTCTTCCTAAAGTCTAAATCTACCCTATTTTCAGTTTAAAGCCATTACACCTTGTCTTATCACTACATGCCCATGCAGTAAGTCTAGTAAAGGATTGAATAAACTGCAAGATGAACAAGAACTTTTTAAAAATATAAATCAGCACTAGTTTTAATTTTTCTTTTCCTTTAAAGTTTACATACCCTTGGTACATGCTGACAGTCCTCTGAACTAAATTAAACATTTGAGTAATACTGAATGATACAGTTCAATAAATTGGCCTTTGTATTACAAAAGAAGTACAGTCTGTAGTTACGCTCAAGGAAAATGGAAATGAAAATGGATCTACTTGGTCCAGTAATGACTGATAAATTACCATTAAATATTGAGAACATACATGGTAAATAAATATGAAAAATACATGGGATAAAGGAAAATATGACCAAAGTTAACATAGAACTATGACTTTGCTGAGATTTTTTTCCAAGTTGAATACTGAGCCTTTTGTCAAGATATGATCCACTTAGTACCTTCATTGAGCTGATACATAGCATTTACATCATTTTATGCCGGCATTACTGGTTTCAGCAAGCTTGACCAAAAGAAGTACAACAATTCTTGTTACAGCAATACCTACAAATATTGTAACAAAACAGTACATCCAAGCGGCTGAATCAGCTTTCTAGATTTCCTTATAAACCTTACCACCAGAGGAATTTTCCTTTGACAGTCTCTCCTATTTGGGTAATACTTAAAATTACAGATAATACTTAAAAGAAGCCTGTACTGTAGAAGCACGCATACACTCTATTAGAATTAGGAATTCAGCAAGCATGATGTAATGGGATCTATATTTAGACTAGGAAAAATTTTTTTTTATATATAACTATTTTTGCACTTCTCAAAGATTAGAAGCTTCCCTTTGTTCCATTGATCTATAATTTAAGGTAAAGTATTAGTTCCAATACCTATTCATCAAAGGGATAAAATCATTGATTAATTTTATATCACACTGTATCATGAAATCCATCTTTGCTTTGGTTCATTCAACTACCTATTTGTCTTAAGAGTCATTTTGCTTAAATGACAACCACGATAACAATATTTGAGCTTTTAAAATTTATATTCAAACTGAATTTCTCTATCCAAGGAAAGATCACTTAAAATTAAATGAAAAATATTAAAAAAATTTCCAAGAGCACAGAAATTTCAGAAATTTTAAAAAGTTTTAGTAATCACTAGGCCAACTCAAGAACTTCTTATCTAGATTTTATGTGCAAAAAACTCTTAATGGCAGAATGAATTCTGCTTGCATAAAGTTTTTAGATATCTAATAGCTACAAAAAAATAAGTGGACAAAGTCAAGAAACTGCATTAGTTTGAAAATGTTCTTCCAGTTTAAGTTGGAACACATTTCATTTTCAAGGCTTTTCATAAGCTTTAATAAGTAAAAAAAAAAGTTCTGAAAATATTAACACAAGTAATTTCTAAGATTAAATATTCAAACTCAATTAAGATGAAAAATGGCTTTGTAAGCCAAGAGATGCCCCTTTTGGCAATATCAACTGAACAAATGATTCCTAAGAAATCAAGGACAGGGAGTCTCCCTTCCAACCTCCCAGCTTTCTAATGAAAAAATGAGAATCCTAAAAATTTCCAGGCTTTCCAGATGTATAAATAGATTTTTTCATATTTCAGTTTGTTTCCATTCCCTGTTCTCTTTCACTGAATACCACTGAGGAAAAGTCTGGCTACATCTTCTTCACTCCATCCCATCTGGCATTCATACATACTGCTAAAATTCCGCTGAGCCTTCTCTTCTCCAGGCATAACAGTCCAACCTCTTGCAACATCTCCTCATCCGTTAGATGCTCCATTACCTTAACCACTACCATGGCCCTTTGCTTAACTCTCTCCAGTACGATGATGTCTCTCTTGCAATTGGGAGCCTAGAACTGAACCCAACACTCCAGATGTGACTTCACCAGAGCTGAGCAGAGGTGAGGCTCATCTCACTCGACCTGCTGGCAATGTTCTGCCTGCATAGCCCAGGGGCTGTTGTCCTTCTTTGCCATAAGGATGCATTACCACCTCCTGTTCTATTTGTTGTCCACTAGGACCCTCCAGGGCCTTTTCTGAGGAGCTGCCTTCCAGCTGATCCATCCCCAGCTGTAATGGTGCTTCCCAAGTGCAAGAGTTTTCATTTCCCCTTGCTGAATTTCACAAGATTTCTGTTCACCCATTTCTCCAGCCTATCAAGGTCCTTCCGAATATCAGCACAACCTCCTAGCCTATCAACTACTCTTCCCGATTTTACATCATCTACAGACTTGTGGAGGCTATGCTCTGCCCTGTAATTCAGACTATTAGTGAGGATTTTAACCAGCATTCACCCCTAAGATAGGCCATTTGTGACTGGGCTCCAGCTGAACTTTACTGTTTGAGCGTGGCAGTTTAACCACTTTTCAATCCACCTCACTGTCCATTTTTCTACTCTGTACCTCATTAGTTTGTCAATAAGAATGTCATGGGAAATAGTGGCAAATGCCTCGCTGAAATCAAGACAAACAAAGGAAAAAGTTAACTGTATCACAGCTAAAACCAGAATAATCCAAACCAGACGCTAAACCAATACTGGATCTTGTAACACATGAGCCATCAAAGTCAACAACTATCCAGTCACTCACCATGCCCTAAGAGGACATGGGTTTTGCTCTTTTTTTCTCTCTAAATAGGAACCACATTCTGTTTTTCTATAAAGATGATTTTATTCTAAAGGATGTCCCTTTCTCTTCATCAGTTTCTGGGCTTCTATCCCTCCGTTCTTAACAAGAGTCAAGCAAGACTCCTCTGAATCAGTGCCTAAGAGTTTACAATAACCTTGAGTATGCTCATTAAACAGTACTTAAGAGTTCTTCATTTCTACATTGTTTTCAGTCTAGTCTTCATGTTAAATTGCAATGAAACCACTGTTACCATTACAGGGAAAGGTGAAAAACCAATTCAACGAAGTATTTATAAATTAATGGAGCATCTTAATATCATATAATTGCTGTATCAATTTTGGTAACAGGTTGCTGTACATAAAAGACAGAAGAGCCATAAAGAGTTAATATTTATTTTCTAGGCTACTGCTGTAGATTAGAAAGATAGAACATATTCAGAATTAACTACAGATTAAAATAAGAATTTATTCATTATAAAACCATAGAAAATTAATCTCTGTTTTAACTCAGTGATCAATCCGAAACAACTTGCCTAAGCACATTTTATTTGTCATAAAACTATTCTCAAAGACATTCAAAAATTCAAAGCACACAGGACTCTTAATTAGATTTAGAAATATGCACACTGAGAGCCACAAGGATGAACACATACCCTTAATAATCGATTCAGCAGCATACAGATCCCGCTTGTAGGTCACCTAAAGGACAGACAAGCCTCATTAGATTTAACACAGCAGGAAGGAATGTAAAACCAATAAAACAATGCCCTGAAGGCAATTCTTTACATTTGAAATACCATAAACAAATGATATTGTCAATTTCTTAATTCTGGTAAAATATCACCAGCGAGTCAGAAGTTGCAAAAATTACTGGAGACTCAGGAGAAACCTTTCTCTAAATACTTAGATCTGCTTAGATCTCATTTGAAACCTAAAACTACTTTTAACCCTCTGCAGAATCATAAAAACGTGCTGTTGCATCTATTTTAACACATTCTATTCTATAATTTTTACTATGAAATAGATTCATTTTTTTATGGGAGTTGTGATCATTAAAAAAATGACAGCTAGGGAGAAGCCTCATTATTTCAGTAATTATTCAGTAGCGCAAGACTATTACTGTTAATGAGAGTCCAATTAATCAGTGGGAGTGAGACCACTGTAGGCTTTGTATGAGCTTTCAGAGGATTAAAATCCATCAAAATCTTCCTGAAGACATTAATCAGACCAACTTAGATGGACAATAATAAGATGAGTATTAACTTGGTACTTGGAAAAAACAGCTTTCATATCTGCCTTTGTACCCTCATGGTGGTGGACACATCAATACTAGGCTTTGCAAATACAATGAGAGAAAACTAAAGGCAGCATCTACCCAAGACATTAACAGTCTTTGCTAGCAATGTCTTTGCAATGACATGCAGTGACATGAACTGATACAGGAATAACTCCTAAATATTTGTCTTTGTTTTTACTGTAACTTCCTTTTATGTTAAATAAAACATTACTGGATATTCGACATTTATTTCTCTAGAGTCTGAATAACTTTTTTCTTTCTTTTAGAAATGGACTGAATAAGATTCCAAAAGCTTTAGTGCTGCAAAGTAAATCTTACAGCAGACACATACCATTATGGGTATTAGCATTTTAGTCTCCAAGTAAATGCTTGTTTGATTTTAACATAAGGATTCTTGTGACCACTTTCCTTTCCATCACATAAATTAAGCTGTGTATTGTAGTCAGAAACAGAAGAGGAAGATTACCTTTCGCATTACTCATTATTTCTCTAAGGAATTACACTTTTTTAAAATGAATAATTAACTTAGTTCCCTAATTTCAGATACAAGCTCCTATAAGCTGCTTGAAAATAGTCATGTTGACAGACATAAAAACCCTGCTAGTTACCACACGTGATCACCACAGGAAGTGAGCGATTCTCTACACCTCTCACAGTATTTAGTAAGATGCTAAATCCAATTAAAGTTTCTCTTAAAGTATGGGTATTTATAAGGTGTCTGGATTTTCTTGTGTTGATTAAGAGGTGCTCTTGCAATTTAGATGAGATTTAGTAAAAAGGTAGACAACCACGAGAGACACCCTTTGGTCTCATTCTAACCACTGATTGTTTTAGTATGCATTTATTGTAAACAACTTTCAAGGCTAGTCCACACAATCTTATTGTTCTGAGCAACTATACTGCTTTACCTCTAGTTTCACTAAAGTAGATTTGCATTCTAGGCTCACACCAGCCAGAAACAATTCAGATCTAGCCCAATAAACCAGGAAGAATATTTTAGCTGCCACTCTATACCAGAAAGTAAAATGTCATTGCCCACTCACAGCCATGTTAGGTGCAAAAAGAACAGTGAAAAAAGTACAAATAAGAAAAACGACACACTGGGGTCCTCCCTCACTTTGCAGAAGAAAGATGTTCTACCTCATCCACTTCTGTTTGTTTGGGGCTTTTTTATACCACATTATTAAGCTAAATCTTTATAAACTTAACAAATTCCCATTTAATCTTTTTCATGCTCTTCTCTGAACCTTCTCTATTTATCAGCAGTTGCACAGAGCCTGAGTCCAGATTTGACAGTAATGTTCTAGAAGCACTTGTAATCCTAAAACGTCTCTTTTCTAACTCATGTTCTTATTTCTCTGTCTGTGGCTGACATGTATTTTGCCCACAGTGGAAACCTACTATCCACTGTGATGCCTACATCAGTTTAAAAATTATTGCCTCCCTAGAACAATTCTCTAAATATGCCCTACGCTGCTTCTGTTTCTAAAAAACACTTCTTTGGTTTTGGCTGCAGTAAAAAGCATACCTTCTGTTTAAACTGTTTGTCAAGCATTCCTTATCAATAGGTTATTTTTGATCAGTTATATTTTTATTTACAAATCTTTAAATCTTTGTGTTGTCTACACACTTTATCAGTCAAATGTTGAATAGCATAGAGACATTAACAGTTTCTGCAGAACTGTATGTGGTGAGAATTATCTTTTGAAAGATATATCAGTTATACAATTGTTAATCTATTTAATGAGGATTAGTACAATTACATTCATTATATTTTTAATTAATCTGCTATGTAGTAACAAGTAAAACTTCTGCCAACCATATATTGCATCAGCACTGCCAACTTCTCAGCCAAGGCCATAATCTTATAAAAAAGGCTTGAAGTCAATTTCACAAAATAAATAAATGGTTGACATTCATTACATCAGTCCCTTAATGCTTTATTAATCAAGTTATGCCTGTAGCACCCTTTTGCTTTCCTGATCAATATCAAAGTCACAGATTCTCTCTCCATGTAAAAATGTTAATTTTCATTTTGTCTTCTTGAGCATCTAGTGCTCCAAGATTTTTCGAACATTATTGCTACAATCCAGAACATCACTAGGCCAAATACTAGAACTCAACACAAATCATAGAATCGTAGAATATTTAGGGTTGGAAAGCACCTAAAGATCATCAAGTTCCAACCCCCCTGCCAAGGGCAGGGACACCTCACACTAAACCATGTCACCCAAGGCTCTGGTCCAACCTGGCCTTGAGCACCCCCAGAGATGGAGCATTCACAACTTCCCTGAGCAACCCATTCCACTGCCTCACCACCCTAACAGTAAAGAACTTCTTCCTTATATCCAATCTAAACTTCCCCTGTTTAAGTTTTAACCCATTATCCCTTGTCCTGTCACTACAGTTCTTAATGAATAGTCCCTCCTCAGCATCCTTATAGGCCCCCTTCAGATACTGGAAGGCTGCTATGAGGTCTCCACGCAGCCTTCTCTTCTCCAGCCTCAACAGCCCCAACTTTCTCAGCCTGTCTTCATACAGGAGGTGCTCCAGTCCCCTGATCATCCTCGTGGCCCTCCTCTGGACTTGTTCCAACAGTTCCATGTCCTTTTTATGTTGAGATCACCAGAACTGCACACAATACTCCAAGTGAGGTCTCACGAGAGCAGAGTAGAGGGGCAGGATCACCTTACTATCACACAATATGAAACTATCATCTGCTTATTTGGCAAAGGCAGAACAGTTTTAGTTAGTAAATATTTCTCTACTTTTCTGTATAAGAAACAATCTACTGCGCCTATTTAGCAAAGCCTCAAAACCATCACACAAGGGTTGGTTTGTTTATTTTCCTGTATGCCCTTCTCTCTAAATTGTCAGACTGTCACTTTCCCCCATCTAGAAAGTCCCCCAAGGTTATTCAAATTTAATATATAAAAGTCTTTTCAAACTCATTTAGCTTGATGAACATTTCAGATTTGCAAATCTGTACATTAATTGCAAAACATAACTCTTTAACAAACAAATACAATAAAGTTATGATCATGCACACACAAAATGAATTGCACTTTAATGAAGTATTTCCTTCTGTTATACTAAGGTATCAGACAGATCTCCTTTGTATGGGGTATTTTTGTAGGATTAGAAGATGACCTATTGTTTTAGAAATGGTGAGGTTTTTCTGCACTATCAGCATCAAGTTTTAAATGCACATCAAACCTTTAAAAAAGTTTTTACAATGCAGTTTTCATGTGAATTATACACACACATATATATTAGACTCCAATCACATTGGAGTTACATGACTTTATACTTAAGAAGATATTGCCCCAGAACTTTTAAGGTCATTTTGTTTCAAAGGTGTCAAGCATAGAGAAACAGAAAATGTGGTGTTGATAGTGTCATTCTGTTTCCTTTTTTTGAAATCCTGATCCTAGCTATAAGTAATTATACAATTACTACATTTATAATAGAACTTATAAATATTTATAACACTCAAGTAATTTCAGTGTTCCTGCTGGCTTGTCACTACAAAGAATGATTTCAGTTTTGTCATTTGCTTCCAGAAAGTAAACAAACTACCTCTTGCTTTAGCGTTAACCATAAATGACTTTGAAATGCTCTCTTTTTTCATGCGCTGTAAGTAGAGAAAGCTCAGATAGAATAATTACAGTTAATTGAAGCAAACAGCATGTATGGACATAAAAGTAACTTTTTCCCACAGCTTTGAGCCATTTAATGTTATATATAAGTTGTGCACCTAATAAACTGAATTCTTACAAATATCAGATCTGCTGAGGTCCACACAGAATGAAACTGGTTTGTAACACTCGCACTTCAGAAACTGTTCTCCACAGTTCTCTACTGCACAATGATTATTTCAGTTCTCATTTATCTGGACAGAATTATCTTTATTACTTGTGCTGGAAAAGTAAGACTGGGGCCATTGGGAGCACATGAGTTCTTGGCATACAAAATATAACTTGTCTCAGCATTGAAAAGCCTTACAGGAAAGAAAGAAAAAACCAACAGCATAATATAAATTACATTACTTTGAAAGCTATGGAAAGACAATTCTGCCTCTGAAAGGTCATTAGGAACAAAGAGCAATAGCTCTTAACCATTTTGTAGGCAAGCATCACATGAGAAAATTGGCAGCCTTCTGCATTTCACTAAACTGCACACTGAGCATGAGTGTTGCCTTCTTTAACAATACTCCTCCAAGTCACCTGCCAAACACTCCCATACAGAGTGACCAATATCAGGACACTATTCAAGAAGGAAGGAGCTATCATCCTCCTTAGCCTTTCATACAAGTATACGCTGCAGAAACAATTTAATATACAGACCTCCTAATGTTTACGTCTTTGACTGTTTTCACAAGCCACAGAAGACACCAATGACTTTTAGCTACAAAATAAGACAGGGAATAGGATGTGAGAAGGTATAGGTATTTTAATAACATGGGACCAGCATCACTGTACATACTAAAATAGCATATTCTGCACCACCTGCAGTACAGTACCTGCACCAAAATGGGTGCTGCTGCTAACAGTGTTAGGATTTCATTTCACTGACGTTGGAGTGGCCATAACACTTCAACAATTCCCTTTTAGAGATGTGCACAAGCTCAAGTCTGAAGTATAACTGGGCACTGGTTACTAGTGCTGTTCTTCAAGGGCTGACAGTACAGACAATACTGTCCAATATCTTTATTAAGAACCTGGGAAATGTGAAACAACCTCAGCAAACTAATAGAGGCCAACAAATGAGGAAGTATTCAATATGCTCAAGGGTCCAACACTCATTTAGAGGGATTCTGAAAAGCTGGAGAAAGAGGCTAACAGAAACCTTATCCAAACATCCTGACCCCCATTTCACCAAGGTGTTGGACTAGATGACATCATATCTTTCAGTCTAATTATTCTGTCATTCTAGGTCAAAAGACTACATTTCATCTAAGAGTATATACTACAGATATAAAGAACTAAATAAACAACGTAAAGAACTAAACTAACATTATGGGTATATTTTTTACCCCTCATGGAAGTAGCATGCTTTACAATGAGCACAATGAAACCATCCAAAAAGCAATGTAATACAAATACGCATGACATGACCTGTCCCTTAGATAACTGAATAGGAAAACAGACAATACACTGTTTCAGAAAGACTATGTCCCCAGAAAGATATTGAAAAAAGTTGCTGTATGCAACCAACGCATAAGTAATTTTTGCTGTTACACTGCACAGGAAATTTGCACTGCAGACTCAGGAAATTACCCTTCCGTGTAAGATTTACTGTCATATTATTAGAAATCATGTCCCATTGGAGGAAATTTACTGTCAAAGATAGATGGAGCGATTTGAGCTGCTTCCAGATCCTTTAGTGTGGTAAGGAATAATATTTTATAAAAAAGTAAACACTTAAAAATTGCATGACACAACAGCAGAAGAGCAATGAGCTACTGGGAAAGAAAATGTCCCACCTTCCAAATAATGAAAAAAGATACTTAAAAGCAGCAGGGACCTATCCTTTAGTACTTGTATAAATACCCGCTTTGGCAGTCAACAGGAACCTACAGATTATCCGAAAAGGTGAATGATGTTTAAAAACATTTTAAAAGATTGTTCGAAGAGGTCTTAAACATTAGTTTTACTGTAAAATGTAAAACTTTATAATGTTACTGAAGGTAAGCTCTAAAAATCAAACTGTTGTTAGCCAGATATCTGGCATCAGAGAAAAAGTGATGTTCTAGTAGAAGTTGAGGAAAACAGAGAAAAGATGATACAGTATTTCTATATCTTTTGCAGAGAAGAAAGGAGAAAGGAAAAATCTTATCTCCTAGAAGAATGTTCTTACTTTTAGAGATTATGGATTTATACTTTTACAAATTCTCAAGCTATTCACAATTACCTAGTTGGTTTTCCAACTTCCAGCTATATACTGTCCTCTTTGATTATCTCAAGTAACATCTGCCCAAGTCTGTCTACAACGAGATCTGAAAGAAGCTTATGATAATCCAAAAAAAATTCTGAGATTTAGAAGAGAAAGCCTATTAGGATTGAAAACACATTAATATTTTTATGTAAAATACAAATTTTATTAATTTAAATATATATATAAAACATAGATATTATTATTGTCTTTACCTTCCAGAGATCAGATGTTCCTTCAACAAGTTTGGCATTTGTTTTACAGTATTTCAGAGCCAGATGCAAACATTCAGTTCCATAATCCAGGTCATAGTCTGTACACTGTAGCCATTAAAAAAGAGTAAATGTTCTTAATTGGTTTTAAAGAAATCATACTTTTCAGCAGTCACAGATTTTCTTTTATTAATTAAACCTTACATCTCAAGAGTCCTGTCCAGAATCATACATGCAGGTAGGTAGGTTCAGGATGGATCAGAAATAAAAATCTTCCAAGAAGCTTATGCCAAATTCTACCTATCCAGCGAAGTATTACAAAAGTAAATCAACACTTTGTAACCACAAATGAATTAGAGTAGGTGATGCAAGTACCCTGATAAACCTCTATGTTAATAACTAAACCAATAAGAAGTCACATATATAAAAAACGTTTGGTAGAGTTGATGCCTCACCAAAAGAAATCACCAACCTTCTAGTGACAAACTTTTAGAATATGGGAACAAGTTAAGACATTGTAGAAGCAAGACTTCAGTGCCTTGGCTGGTTTGGGTTTTTGTAGCATATAAAAAGGATAGTAGCAATTTAGAACCTCTGTATTTCTTCTGTTTCCCTCTACAACTTTTTTTCACACAAAATTGCGATATTTGATGCTGCTCCATGAGCCTTGCAGATTAAACAACAACAAAAACAAAATCAGAAAAAAAAAGAAGTTTGTCCACTTTTTGGTCATCTGTAAAAGGCATTCTTCTCTCAACATGCCCTTCCCAAGTGGTTTGGCTTCCTATAGTTAGTGATTGTAAGAATCCTATTAATGGAAAACTGAGTAGGGAACAGAATCTCTTAAGCCGAAACACAGGTAAGTACAAAAGCAGCAACTGGGAGCTTATTGGACAGGATTACCTCAAGATGAATTGACTCAATTTAGGTAAAAAAGTTCTAGTCTCTTTTCATACTGTTGAATTACCAGTCCATCCAGAAACATGAATAACATGTAACAAGGAAGTATACTTAAGACAAGGTCTTTCCAAAAACTGGATTAATATGATAAGGCCACAGGCTAACTAGCCCACAGGCTAACTAGCCCAGTATCCAGTCTCTAGTAGAAGCTAGGAGTGAATAGTCAAGACTAAGTAAATAAGAACAAGGCATTCATATCTTCTTACATTCCCAGAATATTTGCTTGGCTTCATATGAAGCTATTCTTTTGGCTTAGGAAATACCTAAACTAAGAAGTTCCCAAGGGACACACTGAACCAGAAGCAACTGCCTTAACAGTCCTCAGTGAATTACAGGAATCCTGAATCCACTCAATTACTTTTTGAATAGTGGTATTTTTTTAGCACCTGCATCAGGGATCATCTGAGTTATCACTCTTTCTTACACGCTCTGTTGTTCTGACAGAAAACGAGTGAAGGAGTGCAAAACCACCTTCTCAGCCCTTCAATATGCCCCACCACACCTCTTCTCACATCCTTCTACAGGTAAAGAGATCAGCATCTATTCAGTCATTTCATCTGTGGAATGTTACTTCAAAACTCCGATCAGTCATTTTGCCCTCTTTTACATTTATCTACACTTACCTATCCATTTACCGTAGCATCCTTCTATAAATCTTCTTAGTTAGCCCACAACTCTACTACCCAGAAAAAAAAAGAAAAATGGGTATCTCCACTTCCTGTTCCAAATTACTTATAAGTAAAATGAACTGCACAGGTCTCAGCACAGATATTCACAAAACCCCACTGGGATTTACTGCTATGAAAACTGATCATGCTCTTTACTTTGCTTTTTATCTTCTAGCAAATAATCTGTTCTGATAAATCCTTACTCTTATCCCAAATCTGTACAGTTTCTTTAAGGAGCCTTTGGTAAAAGCTTCAGGGAAACATCTTATTACGCAAGTTGGCTGTTACCAGCTTCAGCAACCTCAAAAAAGATGCCCGAAAATTCCTTAAAGAATAAGCTCTGCAATGCATAAGCTTTCCTTTACAAACACTGAAATAACCCTTACACTGTGTCAAATTTAACCATGTGTCCACAAATTTGTGTTTCAAATGAAGTGTGACAGTCCAGATACTGTGCTCAGTAATTCAGTCTCCTCCAGGATTCAAGAATTCAGAGTTGTCAAGAATACAAAAGTCTAAGAATATCCAAACAAGAGTGCTGAAATACAATTTGCATTTTGAAGAAAATTTTTAGCTTTTATTCTTGTTTTATAATGCATCAGTGAAATTTAGGAATTCATCAGCATTATATATATGAATTGTATTGTTAACACAGACAGACATCTTAGGAAAATCAGGTTATCACTTTTATGTTATTTAAAGTAGTAATTTTTTTCATTTTAGTTTTCATGACTGCAATCAAAAAGAAGAGTCTCTTATACAGCTCACTTATAATTCAAGCATTATACTGCTCTTTGGAAGTTTTTAAGCATTTGAATAACAAAACAAAACAGACACAAGAAAATATACTGACATGAAAGACTTCTTTCAGAATACTGCAGAAAACAGGAGGTTCAAAAAAGAAACTTTGGAATATTTTTAAATTAAACAGAAAATATTTATATTTCTTTAAATAATGAAGATACCAAATAGGTCAATAGAAAATATAAAGGAATAGTGAACTCTAGCTCCAAAATATACAAAATGGAGTGATCTCTTTAGTAAAGAGGCCCAGAGATAAATTGCCAATGAAACTAGAAATGGCCTAGTAACTTTCAATTCTAAATATTTGTTATATTTCCGTTTCCTTTTTTTTTTCTGTTTTAGTTTTAAGGAAGATTTCCTGATAGAATGCAAACTATTCTCTACTAAAGTGAATAATACAGAGATTAAAAAAACCACCTATTTTTCTTTTGCCTCAGAAGGGAAGAAAAAATTTCACTAAAATTTATCTGTGAAAAAATTTACTTTGAATTTAAATTAAGCTACATTTTTAAACATATGGGTAAGGAATTATACTAGGGCAAGACTAAGAAATTCCAACTTTTTAGCAAGGTATTAATTACAGATAATTAGTAGGGAGTGGAGAAGTTCCATAAATGGGCTAAAGCATCTTGAGGGTACTGCTGGCTTCAAGGGATGAAATATGACACAAAGCAAAGTAATAATTAAAAACATACTTTACCAACACTTGTACATCGTGACATTTACCACTCTAATTATCCGTAATTGTTTAAACCTAAGCACATTGTCACAGTGTACTTTTCTGCAAGTCTGATACAGTGATGTCAGAGCAGAACAATGAAATGGAAGCATCAGCTCAAGACCAGCTTAGTTTATGTATTATTCATATACTAAACAGATCCAGAAGTGAAATTTGAAATCCATATTTAAGGTACAGAATTTGAAAGCTTCTGTATAGCGCTAAGAAATTCAGTTAACAAATTAAGCATTATCAGGAAGTGACTATAATGAAAAGTTGTAGCATATCTATGAGGAAAATTCTTAGTGAGCCAAGCATGCAAATGTTCACATCTTAAGCCTTCTGTATGTATTTCATTGTACCTCTAGAGCCAATTTACAGTACAGCAATCTGTTAAAAACTCTTCTTCCAAAGTCTCTTTTTAACTGAAAGGCTTTTTAACATAAAGTTTGACAGAATACAGTTAAATGAACTTGACATGCACACATAGCTTTGTGAAACAATAGACACAGTTTAAATTTCAGACCACAGATTCAAAATCGTAGAAACAGCTGGAAATATTGGCACAAAACATATCCACAGAAGAAAGCAAGCAGATTAGTTTAGCTTTCTAAATGACAGAGAAGGAAATATGTTATTTAAAAGTGCTTTTGAACTGTTGAATATTCAAAGGAGTTCTACTAGGTAGTTTTGGGGACTGACTTTTTTGTGGGTGATTTTTGTTTGCTTTGAAGAGTGGATGTTTGAATAAAGTGCTATGGGTGGAGCAAGATCCAGATTTTAGCATTACACCTATTCTTCTCCCCCTGCCCCCTAGATTAGTTTGAAAATATTTTGTTAAATAATCTTAATTCCTAAAATTCAAACTATAATGTTGTTACTTAGCCATAAACATGGAAAAAGGGTTTAGAAAAAAGACTGTGCAGCCTTTATCTCCCTGGTACTTAGTAGCAGCCTATAAGCTAACTTGTTTCCAGTACCATACTTTGAACAAGTAAAATTATAAAGAAGCAACATTTAACATTAATAATTGCTTTTAGTGTTAATATGCATCATTTTACTGTACCTTTATACTGATAAAAGATTTTGAATGCATATATGGGAATTGGTAACCATAGAGTCGAACAAAGACAGAGGCAAGAAAAATTTTCATTACAGCACTGATGTTTTTTTCGTTTTTCATCATTCCTCAGTTTTATAATAATGAAACAAAATCAATATTCTTTATGCATTTACCGAACGAAAATCATCCAATCTGTTCCTTTACACAGGTACCCCTAAAACTTGTGTAAAATCAGTCTTTTACACTTCTGTAACCATCAGATATGTCACCTTTACTGCTTTTTTCAGTGCCAGCAGTAACTGTTTCCATTTTACTCTACCATGTGAATCCATTCTATAACAATATCAGAACACTTGCAATTCAAATGTGTAAGCAATTAACAATAGCAGATCTTTATGACTTTTCCACATCCTTGCAAATCAAGTTTCCACTGCTGAACTGCCAGGGTACATCAGGAACAGTCATCATCAGGAGCATTTTGCTAAGTTAAAAAGCAGCAGCCACAAGCTCTTGCTGAACCTCAACTGGCCTATTTTTATCATATTTTAAAAATATTTAAACCTTTTTGCCATGTTCATTACCATGGAAACTAAGAAACACTGAATCCAACAGTGGGTATGCAGAGAGCACTCAGCCTACAGCAATACATCACAGCTAAATGAGAAATAGCAGAAGCAGAAAACAGAAGGAGGCAACACGTAAACATGGAAACAGTGAGATTAATGTGAGTTCAGATAAGCTCATCTCTAAAACAATTTCTACTGTAGCTAATTAACAACTACTGTGACATACATCCAGATGCTGTAGAGCTCCACAGTGAAGAGAATAAAGACACAGCAATTTGCTCTGTAACAAATTAAGTAGTCCACACTGCCATCACCTGCAACCATGTTCT